TGTCATCAGGAATCAAACCAGTGCTGAAATCATCTTTTGACCACTTTGACAGACGCCCAGAGAATATCTAAATCTTCAACTAATCTCTCCGCGGATGTTCCGTCTCCACTTTGTAATAAATTACAGAAAGATTTCAGAACATCTTTGGACACCACATCGACGGGATAAATATTTATGACCAAAGAACGCATGGCCTCTTGCACCCGCAATACGTATGTTACGGGAAACCGCTGAAGAAACACGACGGCAAGGCTTCGCAATGATCGTGACTGTGAAAACAGGAAAATCGGTTTTATACTTCAAAAGCAGTGGAAAGGTAAAAAGTGGCCAATTGGCAGGCGGCTTTGAATTTTATTTTTATCGATTTGGCTGAAAATCAAAGTTATTGTTTGTATAATTATCGTGGTATGAAATAGTTAATTGCCCGCTGGCGACCAGTTGTGAAATTCTGGTTGCCAGTGCAAAATTTTCAGTCGCATTGGCGACCAGCAAAGCGCAATTTCGGACCCTGTACATGTATTTACAATTGCATAGCAGGCGTGGTAGTAATAAGTATTACCCAGTGATTGATAGTACTTTAACTCACATTCTGATTAGTTTTCGTAATATTATTATTGCTCTCGATTGTGTTCAGTTTTTTGTGCATCAGTACTGAAAAGTATCAGTACACTATACAGCTGTAACTGGCAGTAAATCAGTACTTTCATTATTTTATTCAGCCAGTAGGTTTGTAAATAGTCTGCTAAAACAAGTACATTGTAACAGACTGAGTTTGACTGTTAGCTGGGAGCTTTGCTCCTTGTCAGCTACATGTATCAGAGTGTACGGTTTAGTGCAAGGAATTTTTTCATGGTCATAATTTTGTTTCGTTTCTTAGACAGTTGAAGTTTTTTTCAGGGGCTCTCTCTTTGCAGCTGGCTAAAATTCTGTCAATAATCTCTTTCCTTTTGAATGGGAATATTTGCAAAAGGTACTCTAAGATGAAAGTATTGTGCTTCGTTCATTGCTGGCGTAGGGTAGAACACACCCAAGGACTACAAAAACAAACATGGCACTGATTAATACAGTACTGTAATCATTTTGTTTGCTCTATGCAAGTTATATTTATTTAAGCTATTTTTCGGCTTAAAATGATGCAGGGTGTTGAAGGTTTTAGTCTTTAGTTGCAATGGTACAACAATGTATTTCAGAAAAAGTCAAGATGTAAAGACATTTTTCAGCTTGCTTACTGCCCATTACAATGAGAACCTGGTTAAACGCAGCACATGTGTTGTAAGTCAAAAAACAGAATGCTCAATTTCCAGTTTCTTAGACTACACAATTTTGAACTGTTCGTTATTAGTGATTTCATTTCATGGAAATTTGGAAGAAAATACTTCACAAAATATCTTTGTCCCACTTTGCCACTGACTCTACAAGTACCTTAGCAGTGGTTTTCGATATAAAATTTCCATACAGTATCGTAAATGAACACTTGCTCAAATGATAAAAATCAGATTCTGACAGCTGATCATAAATTCAGTTTTTTGACCTGAGTAGCAGAGACTTCTCTGGCATTGAACCATTCATGGCATTTTACAGATAATGCTTGAAGCCTCCAAGCTGTCAATCAATTCATGGAAAAAATATGACAAGGGATTGCCACATTTGAAAATTGGTGGACGTGCCTTTGACACAAACTCTCAAAGGGCCTCTGAATTGCCGTATGAAACTATTAGTCTCTCTTTTCACTCATCTTCTGACGCCCGTGCTACTCATGGCTCATGGCTTGGCCACTCGTATCTGCTCATTTCCTTGGTTTTTTGCATTCTTCCCCACAGATTTTTAAGCAAAAGACAGAATGCTCCCAGTATAAGCATTCATAGGCTGCCAAGAGAAAACTCTTGATGGCTATCAAGAAAAATTTGAGGAGGTTTAAATTAGATGAGTGAACACAAGTCACCGAAACACATGAGGGGTTAGAGAGATTTAGGCAAAACGAGAGCAAGCATTAAAATGTTTTGAAACTCTGTCATTCTCATTCTCTGTCAACTTGTGGATGAAAAACCTATTCTGTGCACACACATACAGTCATGTATCAAGCAATTTTTAACAAAAGTTCATACTCTGCCTTTGGAATTCTCAGTAAAGACATTGAAAAAAGAATTAATTATTAATTCTTTTTTTAGAGCCCTGGAAAACTCCTTGAAAATTCTTTTTCCTTTACCTACTCCTGAAAAACTCCTAACATTTTCCACAAACACTTGGTAAGTCAGCTGCTCTAGAAGTGTTGATTAATTTTGTTTCAAAAGTTTACAACATTTGATTTCCTAACCATGGGTGCAGGAATTTCTTATACATAACATGGAAAAATACTGGAAAATCTCTGAAATTTGTCTTCTCTTAGATAGCAAACTCTGTTAAGAAAACAAGACCATTGCTCTTACAATAATTATTGCAGGTTTTCCTTGATGTAAATGCAGTTTTTGACTGTTCAAAGTCATGCTCATTAAGGTACTTTCCCAAACTGTAAAGCCATTATTATTATTGTAGTAAGGCACCGTCCATGTAAATTCTCTGTTGAAAATGGATTTTCCAGTAAATACAATTTACATAAACCAATATCGATTGCCTTTGGTTGCTTGGCTATTATACATTTCGCATGTATTTTGCATATGAATGCAGTAAATATTTATTATTTGCCTAGTGGGCTTTCCTGGGAGGTTGGGTCACCCTGGGAACATGCCTACACATGGGCATGGGTGTGGTGTAGGATTTTTTGATTTTGACGCCATTTTCTATCCCTGGATAGGGGGATTGGGTGGTTTCAGAAACTGCAGGCAGCATCTCAGAATTCTGAAGGAGAGGGGGAGGTCTATAGACTCCATAGACCCTGTAGTCTTTCCCTTTTAACTGTACCTATAGATATGATCCCCTCATCCCTTAAAAGACTGCAGCCCTAGGACAGACGGCAAAGTGTCTTGCTCAGGAACACAATTTGTAATAAATCCCAGCCAGGATGTGAATCTGGACCCCTTGATCTGGAGTCCGGCACATTAACCATTAGACCACTGCCCCTCTTACAAGTGAGGACAACCATACACACCACAACCATATTATTACTTATGCCATATCATACCATACCCTGCAATACCATACCATCTCATAAAATGTCTTGTCATGCCATGCCATGCCATGCCATGCCATGCCATGCTATGCGGTACCGCTTGTCATGCCATGCTATACAATGCTGTGTCAT